TAATAAACATGTACCCAATATAGTAAATGGAAGATTATGATCTGTAGTACCACGTGGATCATAATCAGATCGTTTACCAAGAATTAATGATGCAACAAAACCTGATACACCAGATAAAATATGTACTACTGTTCCACCAGCAAAATCAAGTGTACCCAGATGTTTTAACGAAACACTACTAGTTCAAACCAAACGAGCCACTGGATCATAACAAACATTTACCATCTAAAAATAAACTTTTCTGTCAGTAAAAGCGTCAAAACAAAAAAGTGAATACTGCTATCATAAGTATAACTAATGCAATGTTGAGACCGCACCATCGAAGCTTTAACGTCTGTAGTATGATTTATTTTATTTGCAATGTTTATTGTCTAGCAAAAAAAACGTGAAAGTGCATTTTAATATTTATTAAATGAATGATAAACCTTAAAATGTATTTTAATTTCATTCTCTGTTTATACTTTTATCAAACTCATATAAATAATCAGTCGTTAAACGTCTCTACACATTATGTACGGCTTTTATTAACGACTCATTATTTATAGAAGAAAATATAAAAAGGGAATTTTTATTCAAAAAATAATGCTTTCGTAAAGATATGCCAATATTTCTAATAGTTGTTCATCTACTTTTTCTCTCACGCTAATTTTGACATCAAATGAAAAACAAAAACAAAATTCTTGATTACAATAGTAGATATAACAATATAAAAATGTATTTAAAAACGAATAATATGTGCATTAATTGGCTGTTTATTAATTGGATCGTCATCAAACTTTGTTTCATTATGGTTTTGTTGTAATTGATTATTATTTAGTGGATCACTATCAAGTTTAGAATGTCGTGATCTTATTCGTTCAAAGAGAGGAATTTTTAATGATTTTTTATTTGGATTTTTCGGTTTGTAATGTAATTCAAAAGTTCCAGTATTCTCAGCTTCTTCTCTCGTAGTACCCTGTTCTTGTAGAACTTTTTTTACAAGATCACTAACAGCCCGTGATGCGGTTATTTCCCAACTTTCACCATGTGCTAAAATACAATACATTTTCTTTTGCATTCTCTAACAGATAAATTCCATTATACCTGCTATATCAAGTCCTTCAAGTTCATCTTTTTCAGCCAAACGAATACCCATTATCCAATCCAAAGGATAAAGAATACCAGCTGTACATGCAGCAGCAAAACCTAAACACAATATCATTATACGACTTTCAATTTAAATATGATTTAACTTACCAATGGCAGTAAGAATACCAGCAATTTGATACCATAATTGAATTGGTCGTCCATAAAAAGCACCATCGGCACCATTTATTGGATTGACCGACTTTTCAGCAAATAATCCGGTCAAAAATGCACCTGTTATACCTCCTATATAAAAACAAAAATAAAGTTTATTTCAAATCAATGTATTAAAATTTTTTTGTACCACATCCATGGACAATAGCAACATCTAATGCATCATCAAAATGCATGTGATGCTTGTTTAATAGAAGAAAATAGATGATAACTGTTGGAATAAAAGCAATAAGCAATGCCCATCCAGGTTGAACAAATCCACATGCTGGTGTCACAGCTACAAGACCTATTATTGGACCAACACAAGCACCTGAAATAGATACATGACCACGAATAGCATCGAGGACTACCCATGTCACTAATCCAGTAGCAGCAGCTGCATTTGTATTGATCAATGCAAGAGCAGCTATACCACTAAAAAGAGAAAAAAAAAGAATACTTTGTATTTGATTTTTGTGGCAATCTACTCTGCTCCATTAGCTGAACCACCATTAAATCCAGACCATCCTACCCATAATAAACTTGTGCCCAATATAGTAAATGGTAGATTATGAGCCGTTGTACTATGTGGATCATAATCCGATCGTTTACCAAGAATTAATGCTGCAACAAGACCAGATACACCAGATAAAATATGTACAACAGTTCCACCAGCAAAATCAAGTGTACCCAAATGTTTTAACCAACCATTACTACCCCATACCCAATGAGCCATTGGATCATAACAAACAGTTGTCCATATAAAAATAAATAGCATATAAGGAATTAGTTTCATTCGACCAGCAATTGCACCAGAAATAAGAGCTGGTGTTATAATAGCAAAAGTACCTTGATATGCAGCAAATGTTAATAAAGGATATGTTGGAGTATAGGCATCATTATCGATTTGACCAAATCTTAATACAGCCCATTTAAATGATCCAAAACCAGCACTAATTGGAGGACCAAAAGCAAATGAAAAACCAAATAGAACCCATTGCACAAAAACAATACCCATACAAATAAATGAAAGAAAAAGTTGATTTAAAATATTTTTTCTATCAACAAGACCACCATAGAAAAAAGCTAATGCTGGTGTCATAAGTAAAACTAATACAGTCGATGTCATCATCCAAGCATTATCACCTGTATCATGATTACTTGTAATCGTGTTATTTTCCATTGTCGTATTAACACTATTATTGATAACTTTTCTTAAACGAAATTGACTAACAAAATGACCAAGCAGATTTTTTTTATATTTAGGACGAAAAGAAAAAAAAGAAGAAACTCATGTATGTAATTATATGTTGACGTAGATGTGAAAACGTGAAAAATGTTTCTTTTAGTTTTTCACTAATAGAAAAAAGAGGAAGCGTAATTCCACTCTGAGCATCAAAATATAAAATATAACGGTTCAGCATATATATACAGATTGACTATGTTATTTTTGATAGTTTTGCTTTGTTAGTAGAAAAGCTTAGATGTTTCGTATTTTGATATAGTTGATTAGATAAAGTATGAACTACTCTATCGGTATATGTACATCTTTTTATTTTAGTTGTTTTGGATGATTTCGAAAAGTTTGATAAAGTTCAAAAAACGCTGAATCAAAACTTATGGACACTTATATTTCAGTTCAACCAAATTCAACAAAAAGAAAATTTCTTTAGATGATAGAAATTCATCGCACTGAAAAGCGTAGAAAATATCAAACAGTAGTAATTCGAAGTTGAAAAGAAAATTGGATTGTAATGTAAAAATTCGGTCTACTTTTCTTTTTTACACAAGATCAAGTTTATATTATCTTTCGTGAAAATTCATCGCTAAGACTTGACTCATATCTTATCTATATGAAGTAATTCGATAGAGAAGTTCAATATGCTCGTTTCAGCTATACATCAAAGAAAAGAAAAAGCGTTCAAATGTATGAACAATCAAAATTTCTTTGAGGAAAAGTTGAAAGCCATGTATGGGAAAACTTCACGATAACAGTTTTTAGAAAATCACCAAAGTTTATGGTAAAGATACATGATAAGTCCAATGAAAAAAATACATGATTAGATAGAAAAAAAAACAGCAGTCAATTATTCTATATGAAAATAAAAAGTTTCAGTATTTCATTGAGTCATGAAAAATGACCTATGAAATGCTTTGAAAATTATTGGAGAAAAGAGTCTTTGGGAACTTTTTTCAAATTCGTCAAATTTCTGAGTAAGATTGAAAGTAAACAATATGAAAACTATATAGATCCATAGAGTAATTCATGCATTATCCAACTATATCAAAAAAAGAAACATCTGAGATTTTCTATAAGCAGAGAAAACTAAACAAGACTATGAAAAATAATGTAATCAACCTGTAAACGCTGTTTTTGGTTCTTGTTCACGCCTAAATAAATCGTTGAGCACGTGGATCATTATACAAACACATATGACTATGCTTTTATGTGCTGTTTAGACAATATTATACGATCACTTTGTTTATAAAAAAAAAGTTAAAGGTAAAGAATCATAATACGCATTGATATTAATGGTAAATACTTCTTTTTCCTTTCCTTCGTAACTTTTGTTTGACAAACATATTTTCATCAATAATATTCTTAATATAATAGATTAATCGTCTTTGCAGGTTTTCGAATGATAAATGCATAGTGCACAACGTCAATATGTATATATTTTTTTGCACTGATTGAATACGAATGAAGAAAAAGAAAAGAAAAGTGTAATTGTCATGTCCTATCGTTATATAAAATAGGATATCTTATAAGTCATCGACGATCGATATTCAGATTTGTCGAATAAGTTAAGATTAATATTTTACAAATAATATAAAAATTTTCTCTTAAGTCTTAATTGTTTGGTTCAATATTGAGACGAACTAAAAATTGTTTCAACCAACAAGAACAAATAGACTAGAAAATTTTTTATACGATTGATCATTTTGATCATAAATAGAAAATTTGAATTAATGTACTTTTTACTATTATCAGTAAGAAGAAAAAATTTATTCATTTTATCAAATATTTAATTGTTCGAAGTTCAAATATTTTATTCTAAATCATGAAAAAGTATTATCAATGTTATACGAAGGGCATCTTTTAAGTAACTTGTTTTTGTGAGAGTATAAAAATAAAACAGTTAAACCAATCGTTGTTTTACTTTTTCTTATAATGTCAATCGTTAGAAAACAAAGGAGAAAATGAATCACTTATATCATGTGATGTTGTTATGTACATTATCGGACACTTGGAATTATTTAATTAGAAGTTGAAAAGCAACATTTATTTTTTATTTTCAATGTCGTGTACATTTGAAGATAAACGAAAGATTTGAAAAATATTTTTATATTTCAAATTTTGAAATTTTCAGCTAAGATGGAGATCGATGAGTAGAGCACAAGTTGTTATAGACTGAGTTTCTGAATGCCTCTCTCTAAGAAATATTGGGATCGCAAGCGTAGAAAATGATCATTTCCTTATCACTCTCTCTTACTTATCAAAAATACGTTTGCTAGAGCTAAACGTTTTTTTTTCACAGATTCTAGATACTGTTTAGGTTGTCTATCGATTTTTGGGTCTCTTTTTATCTACTTCTGTTAGAATAAAAACACCAAAAAATCTGAGAGTATCTTCAAAAATAAATGATCTTTTCAAGTAGAGTTTCTTTTTTGTAAACCACTCTGATTAAAATTAGCTGTACATCATATTTTGAAACGCAAAAAATAATACGCATCCTAAAAATTTTTTCGTATAACTAGAATTTTGAATCTTTTAGATAAAATAACTTTCTTCTATTGTATTGATTCATTGTATACAAAAATCAATTCTATTGAAATAATAAATTAAGAATAATAATAATATATCTATAGTTGTATTAAGAAAATTGTTTCTAAAATATTTTATAAATCAAAAAATATCGTTTGTACAGACATGTCTCATTTTTGTGCATAATTAATTCGTATTATATCTCTTTTAAAATTGTGTGACATACTTTTTCAAATATTGAGAATCAACATAACCATCATGAGCATTAGTAAGATCAAGATGAGTATAATGATAATATTCAATAATTAATGATGCTTTATTCTCTTTAGTTGATTATCCACGTTGTTAATCTTTTTTAACACTTTATCATTAGTTAAGCGTAATCTATCTGTCAATGGAAACGATCGAATAAATTTTAAGAAAAATGTTCATATTCAAAAGGAAATTTATCAAATAATGGTATTTCTCGAGCACATTTAAGTAATCCGTCTGGAAGATTTTTTCAATATATTCATAATGTCTCATTATTAATAGATAGAAATAGAAATGACATAAATCTTTTTCTCTGTTTGAAAAATAATCGATACATGAAATGAATTTTATTATCTTGAAATTTTCTGAATGCTTCTTCTATATGTTTATTTGATAATAAATCAATTTGATGACGAAGAAAAATAATTGAACGAATGTTAAATCTAAATTGGTTTTATCGTGGCATATCATTAATAATATTATACTTCAAATCATTTCCATATATTATGTTTTATTCGCTAGCAACTGCATGATACGAACTAGGTTTTTTCGAAATTCAATAGTCGATGTAAATGTGATATGATTGCTTTATCATAGAAAAATATTTCCCAAAATATAGAACAACGAGAAACATCTTAAATCCAATGACTTTTTCCTAAAAAAAAAGATATTTATTGATAATAAATTAAAGATGAATGAAAATTTCAATATCGTTCATTGATAAAGTAAAGATATGTGCAAATATAAGTGTATTCATACATTTTGTAAAACTTTCTTGTTTTTTGTTTATTGTTCCAATTACAAGTGATGAAATTCGACTTATTTTTCAATATATGAATTAACGAAGTTTCAGTTGAACATAAATACATAATTATTGTTTGTTGTTCAATATTGATCAAAACATAGTATCGATGATTTTTCTTATTTTAATAAAGATTTCTTTTTTTTTTTTTGAAATCTTATTTCATTTCTTTAATCGCACAATTGTCTCAATAATCTGTTTCGCAAAAAAAATATAAACAAATAATATAGACACTGAGTCTATATTAATTCGGATAATTTATAGAAAGAAGAATGTTTCATAGATGAATATTCAGGATTGAGTTGTTTGATTTCATGATGAATTTAAGGTAAGTGCTGCAAAAAAAGGTCGATTAAGTCTGAAATAGATAGAATCATACGATAAATATCTTAATAATATTAAACTACTTATAATAATACAGCCAAGTACAGTTTTATTCAATCGTTTATTGACATACAGTAAAGTATAGTAACAATATACCATTTATTTTTGAAAATATAAATATTTCATATTAATCTAGATCTATATCTATTTTCCATCCTTAATAAATGTCAATCATTATGTATTTATAATCATGAATTTTATTTAACTGATATTTTCAATGAAAATCTTCTATCATCCTATGATCTAATGTAATAAGTTAATAATGAATAACTGGCATTATTTTTTTTTTGGTTTCATGCTATTATTATTGTCATACTTGATAGATGTGCTCTCAATCAGTTGATTCGAAGTTAATCGATGTGATATCATATTTAGAATCTTAAGGATGGGTGGGATGTGGCTATGGGTTCTCAATTTGTCCGGTGACTTCTGACCAACTTCGTGTTCTTTCAACAGAGCACGATCGTCAATCATTAGAAGCAATATGAAGACTTTCCCGTTTAGAATACGGATTCTATTCTTCACTGATATCTGGCGTTGTCCTGCCGAGTACGATGATTTTTCCCGTATCTTTTCGATCGGTTCTAGAGAAGTTCAATTATTTTTGGATCCCAGAGTCACCAACCTGGCTACAATGAGAAAGAGGGTGTCACTGTAAGAATGTTGAACCCACAATAACACTCTCAGAAGATTCATAGAAAAACACAACTTCTGTCTGCTTTTTTGTAAATAAAAAATGAAATGAAAACCATAAGTGAATGCACATTGTTGCATTGAGATAAAACTTATAAAATTCTATAAAACAAAGAAATAGAAGTCAAGTTGGATTAGATATAATTGATAACAATAGACCTCTAGACAATTGTTGATTTAAAATTTCATTGAGTCTTGATGAATAAACGATAGAACAGAACATTCAGTGTTAATCCGGAGCCGCCGCCTTGAGTGAATAATTTTGTCATTGAAAAATGAAGACAGTGTGATGTCATGGATTTATAATTAATTAAAATGCTAACATTAATATAAATCAGTAAAATATAGTCTATCAAAGAGTGTCCCTATAAGTTCTGAACCTCAACGATAATTAGTTCATATGTAAACAAAGAGTTTAGTGTATCTATTTGAACTTCGGGTACTTAGAACAATGTTTTAAATGGCATATTATCCGATGATATTATTTCTTTTAATAATATGGATATAAACAAAAAGAAATGATAATTAAAATCTTGAAATTGACCAGTATTCTTTCTAGAAGTTTTCATATACTATGATATTCATCGTATGTAGAGTAACACAATAGATTTTGACTAATGATATGTTTATAAATTATTCTATGTCTTAACATTAATTAATGTCAATATAAAACAAGATGCTACTCTCTGCTAAGAATAGATGATAAAATTCAGTTGTCAGTGTCTTTTATTTTCTTATTTCACGGGAAAAAAATAAAAACATTTATAGAAAACTTTTAATCATTACTTCAAAATTTCGCTAGACCGTGTCCAACGTAACGAACATATGTAAACCTGAGCTTAATAGAACTAAATCTTAGTGTAACTCCAAACGTCAAACAGCCTGCATGTTCTATCACCTATGTTTCGAACATTTATTTATACGCTTTTTTCTCTCACATTATTTTAGAAAAAAAAACAAAGAAAAATATTAATTTTAATATTAGATACAATAACATGCAAATATATTTAAAACCGTAAGATATGTGCCTTAATTGATTGTATTTTAATTTTTTCGTCATCAAAAATTGTTTTCTTAGAGATATGCTGCAGTTGATCATTATTTTCAAGATCAAAATCATCTGAAGCATTGTCTGGTTCTTTTTGTTTCAAAAGATCGATTTTAAATCCCGTTCTATTTGGATTCTTGGGACTATAACGTAATTCAAAAGTTCCAGTGTCTTTACCATTTGCTTTCATACTTTCTTGTTCTTCTAATACTGTTTGGACGAGATCACCAATTGCTCGTGATGCAGCTACTTCCCAACTTTCACCATGTGCTAAAATAAAAATTTTTACTTTTTTATAGTTTTTAACAAAAATATTGAATTATACCTGTTATATCAAGTCCTTCAAGTTCATCTTCTTTGGCCAAACGAATACCTATGAGAAAATCCAACGGAAAAAGAATACCAGCTGTACATGCAGCAGCAAAACCTTATAACAATATCATCATTAGATTTCAAATTGACACACTGTTTAACTTACCAATAGCAGTAAGAATGCCAGCAATTTGATACCATAATTGAATTGGTCGTCCATAAAAAGCGCCATCAGTACCGTTTACTGGATTAACCCATTTTTCAGCAAATAAACCAGTCAAAAATGCACCTATTATACCTCCTATATAAGAACAAAAATAAAGTTTATTTCAGAATAATATATTAGATTTTATTGTACCACATCCATGGACAATAGCAACATCTAATGCATCATCAAAATGCATGTAACGCTTGTTTAATAGAAGAAAATAGATGATAACTGTTGGAATAAAAGCAATAAGCAATGCCCATCCAGGTTGAACAAATCCACATGCTGGTGTCACAGCTACAA